CTTTCTTTCTTTCTTTCTTTCTTTCTTTCTTTCTAATTAATTCAAAGATGTCAAAATCAGAAGACGTGTCCATCCAGTCTTACATGTTGGAACCAGAGTCTGACCCAGAGCGAGAGGAGAATGAAGAAGACAAAATTGTAGTTACTAAGTCCAGACCTTTTTTTTTAGAATAGTTCAGAAAACATAACAGAAAACTGAAAGCATGGAATGGGTTAAAATATTTAAATATATAAATAAATACTATTTGAAAAAATTCAAAAACAATATGAAGATTTCCCAGCATTATGTTCTGCACTTCTACAAACTCCAAGTACATAACAAAATGTATTTAATTACTAAAGATTGGATTTTGCTTATGGCCACTTCATTGTCTGATAATATTAAGTTGCATTTTTGATCATAATTAGTAAAAGGATGATTATATTATTTAGAAAACTGCTATATTAAATCAGGTCAGTTTGAACTCAGCTTTGTCAAGGATTAAAACTGTTTACAGTGTACCTATACATACAGTTATACACAGTTATAGGTTTACATAACAAACTGTCTCAGCAGCAGTGACTTCATGTACCTCAGAGCAATGTTATTAGTTTCAGTTATGTGACTGGGCGGTAAAGTCAGCTATTTTCCATCACTTGTAAATGAAAGGCATTCTAAAAACTGCCTCGTGTCTCTCCGTGCTGCACGGCGCTCTCTCATAAATAGCTGCTCCTATGCTAATACCCCTCACTGTAAATGAGAGGCCACATGGGAACACGGGTGCCAAAAAAGCAAACTAAAAGGGAACACGCTTTCCATGCACAAATAGATCCACTTAGTGGCACGCTTAAACACTCTGCGTCGATTTTCAAACAAGCTAAAATTAGCCCGATTGGTCATTGGAGAAGACTTGGGAAAGAAGGGGAAGGTTGTAGGTAACATGATGGCTCTCGGGCTCAACCCACTTTGGGCTTCCCTTACGTGAAGTGGATGGAGAAGAAGAATAAGTCAGGGTGAGATTAGATGAAAGAAAAAAATAGCGCCGGGCAGACACTTGAGAGACAGGGCTTTTATCACCCAAAGACAGCACATCTCCGGCCAACCGCTGATAAACTGCTTGAACTTAATTACTTCCTCTGTCAAGAGCGAGGCAGCCATGAGGCTCTTATTATTAGCAGCCTTATCATCTTCAAGGCAAAGTTAGCCGACGCTGGGAAGTGGGAGATCGTTTCTATTCCTGCTGTGACGGCGTCGTAAACTTCTCAGTTTCTGTTTGCGAGAGCGGTGCAGCCGTCAAAACAAACTGCGAGACGAAGAGGAACATTAAATTATAACATACTGTAAGAAAAAAAAAAACCTGAAATGACTAAACAAAACAAATCAAAAGATGTGCAGAAAATAAACATGTATGAATTAAGTCTCAAAAGAATTCCAGTACAGTGCTTTGAAAGAAAAAAAGGTATTTTTTTCACAACACTATTTCTGACTCACTCAGACATAAATAAGAATTCTAGAGTATAAAACTTAAGCTCTTGTAACAATGATGTCTGAGCATTGCACAAAGTTTTATTTGAAATAATCTTAATAGAAATAGTTTTGCAGAAGTCTGGACTCTGTTGGAGCCTATCCATGTGTAAAAAATAACCTTTCATGTTTCTTGAATTATTCTTTAACATTCTGAGCTTGATAAATCCTGGCAATGATGATCTCCTGAATGTCACATGATTCATTAAACCAGTAGTTTGCAACATTTGCAACATTTTTTCTCTTCATTGAACCTCGCTCACATGTATCCATAAAAAAGATCACCAGTTTGTTGATAAAAATATATTAGCTGCAACACTATATTCAGTTTTAATTCAGTTTATATGAGTTCCATAAGCAACTACATTCTTAAAAATGGTTAATTTAACACTAGCCTGGCCCTTGCCTTCCTACGCAGCTCCGCTCAATTCTAGTTTCGCTTCTCTGCTCCGTCTGGGACTTCTCCCACAGACAATGATTTCTTTGGGAAAATTTTCGTCCAGGCTAATCAGAGAAGAGAACATCAATTTTCTGCGCAGTGTCTGCTTGTAGTTTATTTTACCTGGGCCAGTCAGAGAACAGAAGGTGGAGTTTTGAATGACGTCGATGTTCTGCACAGTGTCTGCTAGGTAGTTTAGCATACGGCAGTGGAGGAAGTGAATGAAGCCAGTCTGTGTTGATAAGGCTTCCAAATTAAATTAAATTGGTCTGACAAAGCAGCAGCTCTCATTTATAGTCGTCTCGTTCGGCTCGGTACTTCTCTCCTCTCAGTAGGGTTGTTTACAGCACAAGTGATTTTTGGTTAGCTTCTTAGCGTAGCCTCCTTTGCAGCGATATACGTCGCGGCCAACCGATCCAATCATTTTAAACCTTCTCTATAGCCGAGAGACCCTCGTACAAAGCAAAGTGAAGGACAAGGGTCTGGTTTTTACCAGGCTAATTTAACTCTAAAGTTGTTGTGTTGCATGTGTCCAATAAGATACTGAGGAAAAATGAAATAAAATCAGGGACTTTAGACATTATGTTTTAGATTTATGCAAAACTCAACATTCTGTGAATAGGCCACAGATCCCCCCCCCTCTCTCTCTCTCTCTCTCTCTCTCTCTCTCTCTCTCTCTCTCTCTGTGTGTGTGT